TCTATCTATCTATCTATCTATCTATCTATCTATCTATCTATCTATCTATCTATCTATCATCTATCTATCTTTTGGCTCTTTGCGAATGCTCTCTACAAGTTTTTTTCCTTCTATTTCTGTTTCCATTATTCACTTTCCCCTGCTTTTACCTTCTTTAGCTTTCATTTATGTACTTTTTGGAACAATGGGAAATGCAGCCCTGGTTCTTCTTATGGCCTTACAGAATATGTGTCTCAACGCTGTAATTACAGAGACATTTTGAGCTAGGAGAAAAGAAAAGCGATCTTTTTTTAAAAAAAAATTCAAATCTTCCTATATTATTTGACTTGGTAAAGTGTGAGATTTAAGCTTTCTTTTAGGCCTAGATTATTTTTCCCCCGTGTGCTGATGGAGCTAATTGATATTTCAGAGAACTCCTTTCTAAGCTACGCCACTAGGTGAGAAACAAGTTGATTTCCTGTTCCTGGTTCAAAATTAACAAGGAATCAAACCAACCTACCAACCATTTTTCTTTTAAATAAAAGTTATAAGCTTTCCTCCCTCCCTTTTCCAAAAAACGCTAAAAATGCCATTGTCATTCCCAATACGAATGGACCGACAGTCAAAAAGGATGGTATGAAATTTTCAGAGGTTAACTTATTTTCTGATAGCGTGGAGCACATAAATAGTAACAGGCCCCCAAAATTGGATTGCTCGCCTCTCCGATAACCTCTTGAATCAGCCCCTGGCGAATCTGAGACCTCAGTTAGATGCTTCTTCTGGCTCTTCTCATCTGTCCCGCCCAGATAAGGGAAACTGTTGCTATCTTCATCCTTCTCTGTCCTTAGATAGACACGTCTCCGTGGGCCTTTCTTTCCAGAGACAGATTTTGTCCATTTGTTCTGACAATCCGAAAGTCAACCCCGATAAATGCAGAACTTTTCTTGATGGACTCGTGAAGAACTTGAAAAAGGCTTATGGGAGATTGTCTCTGTACCTGGTAACTGCAGTGTTACATGTTACAAAAGAGGGGAACGACTGTGGAAAAACTCACAACGGAAGGAAAGCTGGGTGAAGAGGACAGAGGTTTATGAAAAACATAAAACCTAATAATAATAGGCATAGCCAGTCTCCTTTTAGATGAAACACCATTCAGCAATATTAAAAAGTGGGCAGGTTACCCTTCTTCAATTCTATCTGATTTATAATTAATTCAGGATAACCCCAATAACTTTATTTGATCTCTCCCTGTCTCTGTTTCTCTGTCTCCTTTATCTATTTGTCCTCTCTCTCTTCTATCTATCTATCTATCTATCTATCTATCTATCTATCTATCTATCTATCTATCTATCTATCTATCTATCTATCNATCTATCTATCTATCTATCTATCTATCTATCTATCTATCTATCTATCTATCTATCTATCTATCTATCTATCATCCCCACTCTCTCTGTCCCTCTCTCTCTCTATCCCCCCTCTCTCTTCTCTCCCCCCCTCTTTCTCTCTCATCTATCTCTCATCTATCACATCCTGCTTCTTTATCTTTGGACGTTCCAGTCTTGCATGGCCTATTTTGGAAAAAAAATGTTTCCCCCTCAATCTGACTCCCTCAAACACCACCCTGTGGGTTGAGTTGTGTTGAGTAGAAAGACCATGAATTCAATGAATTCCATGGGTTTGAATCTAGATCTTCCCAGCCCTGCAAAACAGAAGGGATGGGTTCTAGAAGACCAATGCAATCTGAATGGAATGCCATCTAGAAGACCAGTGCCATCCTACCCCTGCATGGGCTGTTGCCCGTGCCCAACGAAAATGGATCCTATTTGTCTTAGTTCCACAGCCACACCTTCTGTCATTTTGGTCTTCTGTAGGATTCTCAACCTACAACACTCTTATGAACCAACTGATTTGGTGTCTAATACAACATCGGAATGAGTTTTGAATGACTTTCTCCTTCACCACCAATCCTGATTCTTCAGGAAACTATAAGGGCATGGAATAAGCCTTGAATATAAATCCTTCTACAACACCTGGGTTTACACCCTCTCCTACCTCCTACAAACAGGCTACAGCTTTACAATCTAGCTGGACTTTTCTGCCTTTGTGGCTGGCTCTCCATCCTTACGTGGGACTGTGTTCAGAAAAAAAAATCAATATTTCTTGGCAATACTTATTTTGCAAAGAGAAAAGACAGATAATGTCTCTTTAAATGGCTGATCCACCTGTCTTTTGATAGACTTAATTAGGACAGTTAATGATGATAATGAATGAACAAAATGACAAAGGAAGTCAACTTAAGATTTGTATCTATTGCGTGCCAATGATGTGACCCAAGTTTTACATATATATATATGTTGCATTTGTGCTGATAAATAAATAAAGGGAGACTAGTATAGATCTATTTCAAGCTATTTAGCTCTCATCAGCTAGCCATNTGAAGCATGTGATCCACCTTTTCTGTTCAGGAGCTCAAGCCATGTGGCCCTGTCCACCATTCAAACCATCTTTCCAAGCAGCCTCCATGTCTCCAGTCTCTTTTCCCCCACTTGGAGCCGAACCCAGAAGGACGTTTCTTCCAACAGGTCTAAATTCTAAGAGGCAAATGAGGAAGAAGATATCTCTTTAGAATTAATATACCTCCCAAGGAAGAAAACCCGCTGCTTCCAACTTTTAGAATTTGTGAGAGTTTTTCCCCCCTTTTTTGGAGTTCTCTGGTTGGTCTCCATGGATGCTTCATCTAATTTAGCAATGTTCTTCTTCAGATTACATAGAACATTTCATTATATTCAGGCGAATAAATAT